ACTTTTGGAGCAACCTTTTGTGTAACCTTAGCGTTCTGACACTTCCACTGCGTGTGTCCGTATTCTCCGCAGTTGATGCAAGCGCCACGCATTCGGCGGTCACACCACACGTCTTGATCAAGACCTGCCTTTACCCACTCAGACTGTTTGGTCTGATTGGAGGCGGCCTTCCCTTGACTCCTAGGTTGGCCCTTCCCTCGGCCACCTGCCTTAGTTTTTACTACCGCGGCAAGGGTGCTACCCTCAGCTACCTCCTCGCCGTCATACTCTGAATAGTCCACCAGGTCAGAGAGCTCGTCGATCTCAGTTTGAGTCCCATCGGACTCCACCATCATCAACTTTGCCCCCTTCTTCTTCCACTCCTGGGGACTCTTCTTCTTCTTTGAGTCATTTCCTAAGGTGGGTTGAGCATTGCCTAGGGTGGCCTCTAAGTCTAAGGCTTTCCTAGACAATGTCTCAAACGAGTGGTACTCGGTGCGTGCCTCACTGGCTAGTAAGTTCCTGATGTTCTCAGGGAGACATCTAACAAACGTTGTTAACAGGAACTGGTCGCTGTAGTTGATACCGGGGACGAGGATCAGGCTCTCAACGGTAGTCGTAAGCTCCCTAACTGACCTGAACTTGCGTTGGTCCAATTTGTTAATGGCATCAGTGGCCTTTTGTGCCTCCTGTCGGTTATGCCATCGAGCTTCTACCATCTCCATAAACTGGTCTAATGTCAGGACTTAGCCCAGTCCGCCATGCGTCTCCCATACCCGGCCTTGATAACTACACCATCTAACCACTTGGCTGCCTTACCCTCGATGTAAGATGCGGCAGTTACCACTTCGTCCTCAGGCAAGGTCCTCTTTGCCTTCACCCAAATCGGGACGGTCCTCAACCATGTGTTGAGTTCCTCGTCCTTTCTCTCGACTGAGAAGGCAAGAGGCGGTTTCATTGGGGTTTTGGGATACCATTGACCTTGTTGCTGTCCCTGTGCAGGAACAGATTGTTGCGGTGGTGTAGCAACCACCGCTGGACCTGAAGAAGAAGATGCAACAGTCTGAGCGGGTGCTGCAGATGTTCCACTTGGCTGTGTGCCAGCTTGAACCGGAAAGGGGCCTGACATCGCCGATAACGGCAACGGCGATTGTGCTGGTGGCCGGAATCCTGGCCTTGTCAAAGCATCCAGGATCTGGTCTAGAGTGCTCTGCATGAAGTCTAACTTGCTGTCCACGTGTGCGTGTAATGACAGCATGTTCTTCTTCAATACCTTCAGTGGGTCAGTCAACGCTGACTCATCCAAGCCCTCTAGTTCAGCCTTGTCAGCCTCTAAAGATTCAAGCCTGGCTGCTCTAGTTTTCATCGCATTTTCTCTATCGGTAGCATCTTTCAGGTCCTTCTCTAACTTCCGGCGGAGCATCTCGACCTGCTGGATCTCTCTGAGCTCCCTCTGAAGCGAGGTCAACGGGCTGAACTGCGAGCCTGCCATTTGACTAGAAGACTAGCTAGAGTATGTGGAACCGGAAGTGCCTGAGGAACTTGTGGAACTAGTTGGCATTCCCACACTCATCCCACTAGTCCCTGACGAGGACGCAGATGATGACGCAGCAGAGCTAGTACAGTTAGCCATTGTTGTTGCTCTGGCTGCCGTTGCCCGCTCTCTTGCTACTCTGTTTGCTTCCTGTAGTCCTGCTGCTAGAGCACGGGCTCTACGTTTGGCACGAAGCCGTCTTTCTTCTCCCTCATCCAAGGTCCTGAAGACGTGCGGAACCCTTAGTGCATCTGCATGTGTAAGTCTTCTATGGTCTGCTCTATCATCAACAGGGTCTGTCCCACTCATTAGTTAGACAAATAGTATCTCCACTAGAATCCCCTAATGGAATCCTACCGCAGCATGTATCTAACCGGCACGTAGTTTTCTATAAATGGTTGTGTCCGGCGAGTTCCCTACTATACCGAATCAAGTGGCATGTCTACAACATTCACACAGATTGTCTACATAGTCTAGATGCACCCTGATTGGTTCACTTACAACAGCATTAGTTAGAACTGGCTATGGTAGCATACTACAGTCCTACACTAATTCTGTCTGTGAGGTTAGCAGTCCGTTAACCAATTAATCAAAGGTACAAAAAGACAATGTAGCAGATGTATGATTGATGGGTATTGTTGTGTATACAGTTGAGCACCAATTGGAACCTACCCTCCCCTCAATCCAACCATCCAATCAGCATCATTGAGCAGGCAGTGTCTTCGTGTGTATTTCGGCCCACCCCTGTGCCCAAGTTGTCACCGAGCAAGCCAGCCCAACCACTCTTATTTACCCTCGTACGGCGACGAGCCTTCCTTTCCATGTGATCTGGCTGATCAGGAGGAATTTATAGAGCGCCCCCATCTCTTCAGGAATTATTTAACGTCGCAGTTAGGACGACGATCACAGCCAGAATCACAATGAACTCCCAACCAGAAATGTTTATAGACGGTCTGGTAAGCGTCTGTCATGGGCTGGCACACCCGGAGGAACTTCTATCAGCGCAGCAAGTGCCAAACAGGACAGCAGCCATCGCATGCGTGCACTACTCCCTGTGGGTTGGCATGGTGACCGTGACCCAAGTGCTTCGACCAGGGCCCTTCAGAGGCACCGCCCTTTCTCCTTCCAGATGCTTCCGGGAAGATTGTCGTCTCTCAAGGTAGCGCGCTCACGACAACTCACCAAGGAGAGGACTCTCAAGTTGGACTCACTTCCTCACGGTAAGAAGAGATTAAGAGGGTAGATAAGGTAAGGGATCAACATACCTGGAGATAGCTGCCCCCAACCACAGATTTCTCACCAATTGAGCTGATGTTGCATTTGATGACCGGTCATGACCTCGGTAACACCCACAACGCAATGCAGTGCCACCTTAGTCCAATGCCACATCAGCATGCTCTCATCATCAATCAAACATTCCGCCTGTCACCATGGCTAATAATGTCGTCAATAGCCTTCCGCTGCACCCCTCTCTACCCAGGGCGTGCACCTAGTGTAGCCTGAAGTCACAAGTACCCACTGCGAAGAAGCATCATCAACGCACCAAGTCTGTATAACGCCAGCGTGCCAAAGGTAAGTGGCGATCAAACCAGCTCCGATACCAAATTGGAAGGAACATGAGTATGGACGAAGCACAGAAATCCAGAATGCAAAATCACACTGAAGTCCAAGTAGTCAAAGCCAAAGCAGATAGCACATGGAACCGAGTAACCATCCAATTGAGAATGATACAGAAGAATCGTGAGTCAATGTCCATGCCCAATCAGGGCAACACCAACAGCATAACCCAAATGTAACTCTCTCTTGTGAATGGCGCCAGGCGCCCTATCTACTCGACAGCTATCCTACAACTACAGCAATGAAAAGCAACCAGACAACTTGACTACCAACGAGTGATGATGTCAACACCAATGCCGACCTCCACCATCACCAGGTACGTGTCATCTTCCCCACAGTCTCCCTTGTTACCCACACAGCGCCCTTCACCTCCGAAGTACCACCTTCGCCATTCACCCCTCTGCGCACACAGGCAGCCCGGCTATGGCCGCCAGCGCCCTGCGCTCACAGGCAGTGCCCTACCGCCTAGCGCTGTCCTGTTCCACTCAGCCTTAGCGCAGCGCAGCATGCATGCAACGCAGCAGCGTGCCGGCCTTGCTCGCAATGGCCAAGATCCCTGCTGCCTCGCCCTGCTTGCCTATATGCCAATGCAGCATGTGGGCGGCCTCCCTTCAGCCTGCGACCGGGACCCAGAGGCTGAAGCCTTCCCGATACAGTTGGGCCCCGGAGCAATGCAGTTGCGCCTCTCTTCTCAAGGCCTGCGGCCAGATTCAGATAGTGGGCCGATTTTCCCTTTGGCATTTCGGCCTCTCTACCCAGCATGCATTGTCGGCCTCACTTTCAAGCACCCAGGACCTAACGAACTCAGAGGCCCTGGGTTTTCAGCATTTGCTGAAAGTCGAGACTCGGTGCACTCCAACCAACTGGCGTGCTGCAACTGTATGAGCCCCACTTCAGGAAATGTTTGCACAGAGGGCTCTTGTTGATTTGCTGGCCCGCCTTCACTTGGGGCGGGCACTAGGCTTGCTGGGGCCTTAGCCCAGAACATGTACATCATGGCAAGGCCCCTACTTGAGGGCTAAATCCTCACACATGTATGAGAGAGATATAAATGATTATTGGGACTCTCCTCCTCCTCTTCTCTGTCTTTCCTCTCCTCTTTCTCTTTCTCTCATCCTCTTCTTTGACGAGACGATGCTTCTGAGTCGTCCATATAATCGACACATGGACTTGTAATCGACTCCGGATACTTCATGCTATGCACTGGGCTCGAACATGTACTGCATTGCTGACTGGCTTCTCAACGATACAGGGTTCACTACACTTAACCCTAATTCAATGTAAAAGAGATCCCAATACCTCTTGGAATTAGGCTAGGGCAGTCTAGAAGTCACCTGCCACTCCTTCCCAACACCTTTCGTAGTAGTACCAAAGTGACTCCCTACCCTAATCCAACCGAACGAGGCCCTAATCCAAGATTAAGTTGCTCTAACTGTTTTGGAATTACAGTTAGGGCAGCTTGAACACCTAACCAGCAAGTACGGTCTAGCTCTAATACCAATTGTTATGATTCTACCACGTTCATAATGCAAAACTCAATCGTGAGAAAATGCAAAATAGAAGAACCAGAATTAGACAAGTTAGAACCAATGTCTTTCCCCTCACTTCTTATCCCGCTCATCTTTTTCTCCCCTACTCCACCTCTCTCAAAATTATATTAGATACAACAACAATTGAATGAATGAAACAGGGATGTTGTCCGAGTATTCCCCCTCACTGCCAGGTTTACGGAGCCCTCCTTTCAGCCATAACTTCACTCTTATTCATTCAGTCGCATCCCTAACTATTGCAGCTCATCCATGTTCACCACGGATGTTTGGAGGACAACGCAAAGGCTATGCCTCCTCCATCTCATCCCGCCATAGCCACACCCTCGGATATCATCCAAGAGAAGCCAGTACCTACATAGGGGCCTTCCAGATGCAGTGCCAACCAAGGAAATGGAATGAACGTTCGCCATAGCCAAAGGTGAGTCTCCCATCTCTGTTCCTCTCTCTCTCTCTCTCTCCCTCTCTCTCTCACTCTTTCTCATCCTCTACACCCTTTCACTGCCCTTCTCTATAGCCTGCCTTGAGGCGCTTCAACCTCTACCTCCATAGCCTAAGGCTACGCCCTACTACTACTACTCCATAGCCATGGGGGTCTTCTCCCTCACCCTCCAGCTCCACTGCTCAGCAGGAGCTTTGCCTACCTTCACCTTCTGGGTGGAGCAGCAGCATGACTGTCAGGTAATGTATTGTCTCACTAAATGTGCCCGTCTGATATACTCGTGCAACTCGGCCTCCGGCCTCCACTTGACCGTGGTTCTACTGCCTCTCCGGTGTGCTTGGCCTATCGAGAGTTCTGCCTTTGGCAGGAACAAAAATCTTGCAGCCTGCATTCCTACTTCAGGACCTGAATCTAGCCTTCCCGCTATCTAGGTACAGGCCCTCACTACTCATGACCGTTTTGAAAGCTACCGGGTCCTTCTAAGCCTACTGAACTGTGCTGGGCATACCCAAGTTGCTGGAAAATCCCTACCCGTCCATCCAGTGTCTAAATTCAGTACGGTACCTGCGGTTTCCCTATTTGTAAACTGCCCTTTCTCTGGGCACAGAAAACACAGGGTGAGCAAAGAGTTAGTACTCCACATAGGAATCATCACATAGGGACTTAGACAGATGCAAGCAAACAGCATTCTCACTCCAAACAAGGAAATCTTGGCAAGTCAAAACTATGAAGCAACAACACTCAGACAACAACATACATCTCAGACTGATTCTGTGCGGGTCATGGCAGTTTCAAAGAAGAAGCTGAAGAAGAAAAAGGAGGGGGAGAGAGAGAGAGAGAGAGAGAGAGAGAGAGAGAGAGAGAGAGAGAGAGAGAGAGAGAGAGAGAGAGAGAGAGAGAGAGAGAGA